TCTTTGCAAGAGAAGGAAGGTCTAAGTCTCCCTGCCTTGCTGTGAGACATGGATGCTATCCAGTTAGGTGGAAATGAAGATTGGACTCCTTCAGTGTCTCTCTTTGGAGAATCCTTCAGTACCGCTGGTTTGACTTTGTGTCACTGTGTTGTGGGTGCAGCAATGCGCTGCCTCAGGGCATGCTCCCCAACCTGACCTGACCTGACCTGGTGCTTGGGCTGCCAGGATTTTAATTTTTTGATACATTGCTAAGTATGAAACTTTTCAACATTTTGCATCACCGTGATCCAAAATGCCCTTTTTTGTCCATTTGTGTATTAGGATGCCTGGTCTACCAGGAAGTGGAAATTTTGATCTACTGTAAGTATGGAGCTTTTCAACATTTTGCATCCCCACAATGCAAAACGTGCATTTAACAACGCAATTTTGCGATTTGGGTGCCTGTTTTGCTAATTTTGCATATGGGGGCACTTGGGTCGCTGAAAAATTAACATTTTGACGTTGACAGTTATTTTGTATCCCTGAGAAGCAAAACACATTTACTAGAGCAATTTCGTGATTTGGGTGCTTGTTTCTCCAATTTTGCATTATACTCATGATACCATGGATAAATTAGTTACACTAATGGAAGTCAACCTCACTACCCACATATTCATTCCTATTCATGATCTAAATTTGAATAAAAATGACAAGTTTCCTTTTTTTGTAGGAAATTATACCCTTTTAATTCATACTAGCATCTACATAATGGTTGTTGAATACTTCACAATATATTAAGTCGAGATGGTATGGTACATGCATACAATCCAAGCTGTATGAGAACCCACAGTCACCAATACACAATGAAAAGTTGAAATAAAATCCCTCAAAAAAAAATTTAAAAAAATAAGCCATGAGACAGTTCAGTGCTGTATAGATAAGCACATCAGCATTAAGACAGCAATGTCTCTTTTCTTATTAAGGAAAAAGGGGGAAAAGCCACAGTCACACGCGAGTGCCACTCACACGAGACATCACTATGAACACTCTATCGTGATGCTTTGCCAGCAATTACTCATCTGCTGTGCCTTGCTTGAGCTCCAGGGGTTAAAATAAATGTTTTGAGACATTTATTCCTTTAGATAATTTCAACTAAAACTTCCAGAAATAGCCAGATATCCACAGAGATTAACATTTAGCACACTTCACCCACCATTACCCATGTGAAATGTTTTAAACACCTGACGTGACTTTTTGTGCATTACAAGCCCTAATAAGTCCCTAGTGTGCCTCAGCACCAATGGGAGACTTAACAGGGTTACCCCAACAGTCATTTCAAACAGCCTTGACCACATGTAAGTGTATCAACAAAATTGTTTATACCTTAGCAAAAGGTAACACCGCTCAAGAATGCACACTACTCAAAACATTCCTTTTGCTTTTGCAATTAAAGAAAAAAAAAAACATATTACTTTTAATACATTAACATTGCTGGAGCAAATTTAGCGTTCCTAAATCAAATCCGTGTAATTCATTGATATTTCTCTTTCACAGAAAGAACTTATATACTGGGGCTTGACAAGGTATACATTAAGCAAAGGGAGTGTTACCAAAATAATAATAATAATAATAATAATAATAATAATAATAATAATAATAATAATAAGACATTCAAGTACAGTAAGATTTCTGCTTGAAAATACAAAACTATGTGGGAAAGCATTAAAATCATGTGTCAATCAGAATGGCATTTAAAAAAAAGCTGAAGTGCTAGATCACCTTTTGTTCCTTTACCAAACATTTACCAGCACCACTGCTGTCTAGAAACAGTTGCCAAGGCGGCCGAATGGGCATAGCCCAGCCTCCCGAACAGGATGACATCCCTCTTCAGTGAGAGGGACTATGGCTCCTTGTATTTCTGGGTACCAGACTGCAGCTAAGCTCCTCCTACAGCAGCATCTCAGATGTTGCACAGAGAGGCAGTACAGCTGAAGCCATGCCCCCTTCCTCTCCATAATCCTGAGTCAACATATTGCTTCTCTTCGACGTTCATTTCTTCTTTTCTTCAAAACATTTGCATTAACAGAAAAAAAAAAAAAGTTTTACATCCACAGACACAGGAAAGCCTTTTAAAGGTTTTCTTTAAATATATAAACTTCTCCATTAGAAGCTGGATCAGCTTTTGTTTTCAGTTTTTTTTAGTATGTTTTTAAAGATTTTATTTCTAGTGTGCATATCTTTCTCCATCATCATACATTAAACATGGAGTCTTTTTGGGTCCAGACTGATCAAAGCATCCATTTGGTGCGTGTAGTCCATGGCCCTTTAAAGGTAACAGCTGAGGTCAGGCTCAGTTGTGCTGCAATGTATTGGACTCTATAGGAGGGGCAGAGTCATACAGAGTGTCCGTGTCATGCGTCGGCTCTCCAGCAAGTGTGCATGGGTTTGACAATGTCCCTGCTCCACAGTCACAGAAAAACCTATAGTGAAGAGAAAGTATAAATTAATATCCATTAATGGATCTATTAAAACTCAGAATGCAGTTAAATTCTTGTACAGTTCAAAGGTAACCTATTGACTGTTTATTACAAAGAACAACTAGGCATGGGAAATACAAATTGACAAAATGTCATATCGCAATTATGAACATTTATATCATCAATTTGAATATTCTATCGTGATATTGCCTAAATACTTGTTTCCTTGTGTAATTAACAGTCATGTACTATTTTTACACAGATTCCATCAAGGTATGAGTCTGTTTGTATAATTATATTTAGTGCAGCCGCACTAACCTGTCATGCCGAATGAACTCGACATCATGTCCCTGATGGCACTTCTTGATGCAGTTCAGGCAGATGGCATTGCGGTCTGTCGTGTTGCATGTGTGACACCTACAGGAGATGCAATGCAGGTTTTGATTGGTTGATATGCTCATCAGATAAAAATGTATGCTATTGGGGGTAGGGGGCATTTACCTATAAAAATCGTGCATCGGGTAGCTGGTGTAACTGGAAATCTTATACAGGCACTGACCCCTAGAGACAGCTTTTTCAATGGCATCTTGGTTGTTCATTATCTTGTTATCTGTGGAGGAAAATGCACAGAGTCAAAACATCTAGAAACTCAAAACTAATACTAAGGTTGGAAATATCCACCAGCAGCTGATCTCTGTATGAAAGTCTGTACATGGAACATCTTATAGTCCCCCTCTTCTTTTCTTTCTAGATTTAAACTCCTAACTGTGGAGGAAATATCTGGTATTTTTAGAAAATCAATGCCCTCTGTCAGATGGACCCATTTCCTACTTAGGTGGTTAAATCTCATTTGCCCTCTCTTTCATCTCTGGTAACTAACATCATACATGTTCCTTCCTTATTTCTGGTCTCTGACTCTTAAGAAACCTGGACCCTTACAACATGAATTAATAATAATAATTTAACCTTTATTGTCCCTCATGGGGAAATTCTTTTTATGCCTCCATCAACTTGCTCTTTGGAGAATAAGCTGTCTGCGAAGGGCAGCCACCTGTTGGGGCACCCAGGGAGCTGGGGGTTAAGGGCCTTGCTGGGGCGCCCAGGGAGCTGGGGGTTAAGGGCCTTGCTCAAGGACCTGCAGACATGCTGAGGCTGGGTTTGAACCGGTGACCTTGTGATTACAAGCACACAGGCTTAGCCCACTGAGCCACACGCTGCCCTAATTATCATCCAATCTCAAATTTACCTTTCCTCTCTAAAAATCTTGCCTTGGGAGTGAACCTGCACCTCATTGACAATCATCTGTTTGTACTGTGAAATGAACTAAAACCATGCAGAAAATGTTCGGAGACAGCCCTGGTTAAAATCTCCAATGACCTGCTGATGGCAGCTGACTCTGGGCTGATAACCATACTTGTGCCCTTTGACCTAAGCTCAGCCTTTGATCTCTCATGCTATTCCCCTAGAGAGATTGGAATCTATTTGTATCATTGGTACTCTATATGCCTGGTTTAAATCTTATGTCTCGGACCATGCTCAGTTTGTAAAGTCTGCCCAGTTCATAGTGGTGTTCCTCAGGGCTCAGTCTTAGACCTCTCTCTTTTGTTTACCTTCTGCCTCATAGTTATATTTTTAGGAAATTTGATATTCATTTCCACTGTTATGCTACCCAGCTCTATCTGTCTACCAAGACTAATCCCACTCTTCCACCTTCTCTTTCTGACTGCTTACAGGAAGTTAAATCATGATTGTCTGCTAACTTTCTCAAGTTGTGATAAAACGGAGGTTCTTCTGGTAGAAACTAAAACTGTTTTAACCCTCTGGAGTATAGGAGTAGGGAACACACTTTCACTGACTGGGGCATAGTCACACATTTCATTCAACCTAATTTTAAAAACTTTAATACTTCCCACAATGGACGTTTTGAAAAGAAGACCAATTACAGATTTATTCAATGTTTTTTTCATGTTTATATAATAAGATTTCAGTGAGTTATGAACTGAAATACACAAGAAAGATACTCAGCATCGCCGACGATGCCGTTGACTCCAGAGGGTTAACCAAATGGGACAATATTTCTTTGAATACTGACAATTCTCTAATCTCTCCTTCCTCCCAGGTTGAGTTTAGGTATCATTCTTGACAGGTCAGGTCAGGTTGGAGCATGCGCTGATGCAGGGTGTTGCCGCACCCACCACACGGCAAAACTCCTCAGTATCCCGGCCGGCGAACCCCAGGCAGACACATGGTCCAGTCCCACCCTCTGGAAATGGCCGTCCATTTGCCGCAGCTAGGTGTTATGTGGGTATCCCCTTAGCCCAGTAAAGCTGCTTGGGTCCCCAGCAATGACGATCCTATAAGCCGGATAACCCTCAGGGAAACCCTCCACATAGCCATAGTACCGTACCTGAAGCTCCTTCACAATGCAGGTAATGTGCCTCATTCTGGACTCCTCTAGCAACTGCTTGTTTGACACAAAAGTCAAACCAGCGGTACCGGAGGATTCTCTGAGGATAGTACCGAAGGAGTCCAATCTTCCTCTCAGTTAACTGGATAGTGTCCATGTCTCACAGCCATATAGCATGACAGGGAGCACCAGGACTTGGACCTTTGTCTTCTTGCAAAGATATCGGGAGTGCCACACACCCCTTTCCAGTGACCTCATGACCCTCCATGGTCTCTCAATCCAACTTCATAGGAACAGTCACCAGAGACATGAATGTCGAGTTGACATCAAGCCGTGCACTGTGACTCCTCTCTATAATATCCAGGGTGCCCTGCGAGATGAAACACCTCCTTCTGGGGACACTGGCATCACCAACACAGCCCTTGGTAACCCTTCAGGTTCTTATCACAGAAAATCTCCTATATCACACTGGAGTCAGCAATCGCACCCATATGCAAGTTATTCACACAAACTGTATGCAAACTCATCAGAAACAGCTTGATCTTTGAGCGTGGCCAAGTTCAGCCTCAGAAACAGCTCCATCTGTCCAGCCTCATTCTCCTTGTAGGTGGTAGTCTAGTGGATTTAAGCTGAATCTTCAGAGTAGCAACAGAGTCTGCGGTCAGAATTCACAAACTGGGCATTTCTGTAGACCCTGCAGTTCTGAAGGAGCCTCCAACACCTGCCAACTAGGTTGTGATCGATCTCCTTCGCTGCACCACCAGTATTGGAGTACCAAGTCCAATGATGCGGCTCAAGGCTTTGAAACCAGGATCCAGCGACCTGCAGCCCCTAACCTTTTGCAAAGTCAAGGAACATGGAGCCACTCTCAGCCGACCCATGGGGACTGACACAATCCTCATAGCCAGCCCTTTCAGTGCCAGTGGTTGCACTGAAGAAGTCCCATGACCAGAGGAGTGTCACCTCATAGGCACCCTTCAACCACTAAGCGAAGTTGCAAGTAAAATGTCTCCTTCAACGAGACATCACTCACCACGATCAGAGCATATAGTGAAACAACAGACAAGGCACCCAAGGAGTGCCATAGCCGGAGTCTCATAATACGCTCGTTGAAAGGAGTGTCATCAGACATCATCGGGAGGAGCTGATCTGCTACAGAAATAGCTACTTCCTGAGTATGGCAGCCATCAGACCGACCTGACCAAAAGTAGGTATACCCACCTACAGAGATCTGGCCACTCCCTGGTGTGTGTACCTCAGAGCGTGCTCCCATCGAAATGTGGAGTTTACGAAGCTCCCCTGACAGCATAGGAAGATTGTCATCTTGGGAGACACAAGACATTCCACGTGCCTACCTGGATGGGTTGCCTCAAACTGGGACCCAAGTACCGCCATGCAGCAGGCAACGCCTCAGAACCACACCAGCCCTGAACCCCAAGAGGCCTGACACTTGTCGCTCTCTCATGGTTTAAACTCATCTGGGTATGAGGCTCCCGAAAGCTTTCCCCAATCCCCTTCATGATTCATGCAGCCTTCCTGTGGGCAGCTGCACCAGAGCTACTCCTGCAGAGAGCATATGGGTATTGTGCCTGTTTATATCGAGCAGTTGCGAGTTGTTTTGCGGTGGCTGGAGTGCCAATCCCGCCACCAACCCCCCAAATTTTTTTCCCTGCAAGTACAAGGCCAGATGCAGTTTAACATAATACCAGCACATGTTCTTGACATCACTCAGTCTGCATAATTCTATTTACATAATATCAGCCATTTACACTCATCTCTTAAAGCTGACAACACTGCTATTCTTGTACCTGCTCTAGTTACATCTCATATTGATTATTGTAATTCTATCCTCTCTGGTCTTCCTCACTAACTTATCCACAAACTCCAACTGGTTCAGAATGCTGCTACTGCTCGTATCATTACCAGAACCCCTTCTATAGAACATATCACTCCTGTCCTTTAGTATCTTCATTGGCTCCCTATTAAATATCACATTGATTTTAAGATTTTGCTTCTCACTTTCAAGACAATCCATAATCTGGCACCTTCGTATCTCTCTGATCATCTTCATATCTTCATAATGCCAAAAACACACCCCTGTTCTGTATATTCATTCAATGTTGTATTAACATTGGTTTTATTGCAACTAATATTTTTATTTATTATATATTGCGACTGTTCATTAATGTGTTTATTAAGGGTCCTTGAGTGTCTTGAAAGGCACCTATATATAAAATGTATTATTATAATTACAATCAGGTCTGGTCTTTCAAGAACCATAAACTTATGGGCACAGAACGGAGAACGAAGAGGAACAGAGCAGAGTATTCAGTTACCTTTCATTGTCACATTGACACCAGAGGCGAGGAACAAGCCTCCAAAGCGGTTGTTGAAAATTTGATTGCCTTCCAGAGTTGCAGTGGCATGATTTGTGATCTCAATCCCTACAATACAGAAACAACAAAGTCTAAAATCTTATACAGCGGCTTGCTTAAGTGTTCAGTTCACCTTGAAAGTCACGAGGATTGTCTGGAGTATAAAATATATATTTATATACACAATTTTCTCAAACAACTTATGTTGAGAACTCTTTTGCTCCAGTATACAGTATTTTTAAAGGCCCAAATAGGTCAATTGTGTACTAACATTAAAAAGATAAAAAGAAAAACATTATACATGCTGTTTGCCTAAGTATTCAACCCCTATGCTTTGGAAGTTGCAGGTTTACACAAATGACAAATTAAATCACAAAGATGACAGTTATTAGACCAAAATTAAACATAATTAGGTACTACTTAGTCTTGATGTTTCCACCAAATACAAAAAATACGCTTTGGAAGGGCCACTGTCTTTCTTGGTCAATCACTGCAAAAATTAAGACAAATGAACATTCTCCTGATGTGACTGAAGTCACTGAAATGCAGAAGGCAGGAAATGGCTACATAAAAATACTGAAGAGACTGAATGCCCCGTTAAGCATTGTTAGATTCATCATCATAAAGTAGAAGGTTCATCACAGCACCCAGACCATTACTAGAACAGGCTGCCCCTCAAAACTAAGCATAAGAGCAAGACGTCAACTGGTGAGAGAAATTGCTAAACTAAATACACCCACCACTCTCAGAAGTCTGTAATGCTCTTTGGCTGAAACTGGAGTGAAGGTGCATGGGTTCACAATTTCAAGAGCTCTTCATAAAACAGGATTCTACAGGAGGGTAGCAAGAAGCCATTCCTTATGAAGATCCACATAACACATATGGCATTTGCTACAAGGCATGAGAAATACCCAGTTAAGACGTGAGAGAAGGTTTTAAGGTCAAATGAGACCAAAACAGAACTTTTTGACAGACTTCAAAGAGGTATGTGTGGTGTAAAACTATCACTGACCACACCTGAAGAAACACCATACTTATGGTGAAATATGGTGGGGACAGCCTCATGCTATGGGGATGATGCTTATGTGCTGGGACTGGGAATCTTGTCTTGTCATAGTTGAAGGGACAATGAATGGGCACAGATACCACACAATATTGCCGGAGAACTTGTTCCAGTCTGCAATGAACTTATGGCTCAGGAGAAGATTCATTTATCAACATGAAATTGACTCTAAGCATAATGCCAAAGCGACATGGCTCAAAAAGAGGAAGGTGGATATTCTGGAATGGAGTCAAAGCCCTGATCTTAACCCTACTGAGAATCTGCGGCACTGTTTGAAAGCTGCTGTCCAGAGGTGCTGTCCCCCCAACCTAGAGCATCTCTATTCATTCTGCCAAGAAGAATGGAGGAGAATCGCTCCTGATGATGCGCAAAACCAGTATGTACTTCAAAAAAAAATTAAGGCCGTTATTGCCACGAAAGGGTCCTCAACAAATATTAATGTGTAGAGACTTAAATATTTATGCAAACATTAAATTGTGAGTTTTTCTTCTTCAGTTAAATATATACAAAAATGGTTTATTTTGACATTTATTGTTACAACATATGAGTTCACACTAAAAATACTGAATGGATAATATGTGTACAAATCTTTTGTCAGGCAGAAAATTATGATGACTTTCAAGAGGGCTGAATACTTTTGCAAGCCACTGTACAACAAAAAAAAACTCTACTAATGAAAGGTTGGAGAGGAGCACAGCTAGACTAAACAGGCACGTACAATGACATCACAAGGTCGACCCCCACCTGCAGCAAAGCCATCAAATATCCTGTTTTTCCTGAGCACAGGATGACTGTTGGTGCTGATGAGGACACCAGCTTGGGCATTGCGGAAGATGTCGTTCTCCTCGAGCAAACCTACACAGGTAAGGTGTGGCAGTCATCTGAAAGGCTGTAGGTTGGGGAAAACCCCAGACCATTCATGCCTTTACAATGTCTATCACAGGCAGGGACACTGTGACTTTATGTTTCCAGAAACATACTAAAGTAATGCCTCAGAGAAATGCCAATCTCCCATAATGTCATAAAACTGGCCTTTTATTATGGACGTAAACAACATTATGTATACCTCGACCACCATTGAATATGCATATTCCACCGTCTCTACCATCATGGATCTTGTTCCTGCGAAGCGTAGGGTTGCTGTCTGTCTTTATCCACACACCAGCCATTGCATTGTCAAAGATCTCATTGTCCTCAATGAAACCCAACCCTGAGGACAGAATAGGCAGTGACAGAGGGAAAACTGAAGCCAACCATATAGCTAGCCATTTTCCTGAAGCAAATGAGAAATTATGCTGAGGTCTCCGAACTGCAACTTTTGCATTGAAAGTTTGTAAACAACTACAAATTAATAGTAAGCAGTTTATAACATTTCCAGAATGTATCACAGTGACCCAATGGACACTGAGCCAGAAGACTTTGTAATGGTACTGTCAAGAGCCTGAATTCCAGCTCCTTACCAGAGTTGTATACCAGAATGCCACCATTCTGGCCTCCCCAGATCTTATTCCGCCGAATCTTGGGGTTGCTACCAGTTCTGCAGGAGAAAAATGGGCAGCAGTGGTTCCTTTGTGATTTTTGGACAGTGCTACAAATACTGCAGTCTCAGGCTGTGAAACAAAGATGTTTTTAAAATAGAATAGTTTAATAAATAAATGCCCTAGGAAATAAAAAAAAAAAAATCAAATCAATATTTGTTGTGACCGCCCTTTGCCTCTAAAACAGCATCAATTCTCTTAGGGACACTTGCTTCAGCCGCTGCATGTAATCCTAAACAGCAGATGGATGGATGAATGGATGGATGGATGGATAGATGCAGTATTCATTTTTATTTTTGTTGACAGTTTATTGTAACTTTGGCCATGCATTAGGGCTCAGTGTCATGTTTCAGAATGAATCTGGGATCAGAAAGCCTCCTTCCCGACAGTACTGCATAATGGATGAGAAAATGCCTATACAGTGGTACCTCAGTTCTCAAACTCATTAGAAGTCAAACTTCTTAAAAGTCGAACCAACCAGTTCGGAAAAAAATTACCTAGAACTCTATCTGAATCTCAGAAGTCCAACCGTGAACACCGCGCGGGGGAAAGGAGTCACGCGGCACGTCTCTCAGCGGAAACAAAGGGTGACGCTTCAGTCTCAGCCTCGCAATCACTGTGATAGTGCCATGCATGTTTACACTAGCTGAATACATATATTTAGACAGCAAAAATACATTTAGACAATGACAGTAACAGTATGTCACGCCCACAGGGGCGGGACCGGACAGGTGCAACTTGGCGACAGACGAGTAACCGCTTACATAAGTCAAACCACCCCAAAACATCCTCGCAAAGTATTGAACCGATGTATCGACGCCTTACCAAGCACTTTTCTTGTCTTCAGTCTGCCCGATCACCCCTGCCTTACCTGTCTGCACCGTGTGATCCTGACCTTCTTCCCTTCCTTCCTCAGACCCGCTCCCGTGATTAACCTGACTGTCCAGCTGAGCCCGGCGTCTTCTGTTCCCTCTTCCCCGTGTTTCTCGTTCTTGTCTCGCCGTGTTGGATGGACTCCCCTGGCTACAACCTCTGCATTCGGATCACGACCTCACGCCCCCTCGGTACCTCCGCCTCGGCTTGTTATACGGAGATGCTTACCCACGCCTGCTGCTCTCACTGCCTGCGCCCGGGTTGGGTTGCCAGTGCTCCGTCTCTGGACAAGGCTTTACTCTATCGGTGCTTGTCTGCCATCTCCCTTGTTAAAGTCTTACCGTCCCTGCACTTCTGGATCTCCGTCTCCTTTCTTGCCCAGACGTGACACAGTAATAATTATTATATAATAAAACACATTTTAAAATAAAGATTTATTATTATTTTAATATTAATAATAAACCATTAATACATTTAATTATAATATTGTCATGCCAAGCGGGGACGGAACGGAGACAAAGGTGCAGACGTCAGGGTGTCGGGGAATACGGAGTTTAATTACAGGTAAGGCAGGCAAAATGCAGATGGACAATACAATGACCGGACTAGGGAAACAAACTGAAACGCGGACTAAATACAGAGGACTAATGACAACAGCCATAAACAGCTGATCACAAGGGGATTCCACACGGGGTTAATGAGGGGGCGTACGAAGGAGCGGACGATCGGGGCAGGACACATTGGTCTATTTTTAACTTTACACATTGTTTGGATACATTTATTTTCTTTACAAATTACTGTTTTGATAAATGTGCTTAGATGTGTTTAGTACAGTTTATGCTCTTCTTGTTTTATCCGGTTCATTTTGTGTTTAAATGCTAAACAAAAACATATTTAGGTGTAATTTTTTGGGGCCGGGAACCAATTAATTGGTTTTCCATTTTTTTTCTTATGGGGAAAATTCGATCAGAACTCAAACTTTTTAGGATTCGATCCGGAGTCCTGAACGAATTAAGTTTGAGTTCTGAGGTACCACTGTACTTCTCAGTAGTGAAGGGACCATTCATTTTGACCAAACCACCAAATCCATTTGCAAAGATTCAGGAACAAATACACATGAAACCACCATCACCGTGCTTCACTGCTGCTGGCAGACGCATCCATGCAGCCCTCCTCCGCCCTGTGGCAGGCACTGTAACAACCAAACTCAAATTCTGAAATCAATTCAGAGCGCCTGTTGCCATTTTCTACACCCCAGTCCTTGTGCTTTTGTGAATAGGAGAGTCACTCAGCTTTTCCCACCTGGGAGACATGGCCTTTCGGCCACAACTCATAAGCGAGGCCCAGATCTGAGCTGAGAGCAGTGCTTCACACCTTCTAATGTCAAAGGGCAGTAAGCTTCATGTACGTTTGGTCTGCTGCACTCGGCTTCTGCAGCTGGCCGTTGCCTTTCTGCTAACAGCCATGACTGTTTGTGCTTATGCATAACAACTTGTCTAGTGTGAGATTTCTGTTGATTCAGGATGTCCACCTTGTGTGTTGTTGCTGTTTACTCTTGCCAAGGTATAAGACCCGAAGGGTAAACTGCTACCTCTCCTTTATAGCATGGCCTTCCCTCACCTACTTTTACTCTTGCCATGGCGTAAAATCTGAAGGTTAGAAAACTTCTGCCATGGGGCAACCCAACTAGTTTAGTTCAAACTGCACATTATGTCATTAATCATTAGCTTGTTTTATTTGTTTGATTGTGGACTGGCCTGTCTACAAAGACCTTCGTATTTTTTTAATCTAAAATATACTCTTTCCTACTGACACACTGATGCATAAGATGTAAACTGTCTAAAAAGATTTTTATGAAACACACACAAATTATATAAAAACCTCCAGTGCCATAGGAAGCTGACCTGATCTGAACACCAGAGTACATGTGATTGTAGATGTCATTGTCTTCTAGAACACCGTGTCCATTGTCATAAAAATATACTCCAACCTGCAAAAGATAAAATATACAATAAGATGCTCTCCTGCCAATGGAGAGCTAGGACAGAATTAATGTTATAATAATTTATTTCAAATAAATAAAATAAATACATTATAATAAACATGAGGTTAATAAAAGTAGTAGCTGCCAGCCAGTTACATCCAACTGAACTGCTGAACTGCCAGAATGAGTGCTTTCAGCCATTACCTGCTTTCCGCTGTGTATCCGGTTCCGGCGCAGCACCGGTGTGCTTCCGGTGGTCACCCACACACCCGCCAGAGTGTTACTGTACACTTCATTCTCCTCGATCACACCCTGCCCCTTTTCATGCTGCAAGGTAGAAGCCACACCACATGGTACAGTCAGAATCTCAGCTACTGACTGGAAGGGATCTCACTCTAACAATCTGTTTAACTGTGTTAAACAGAAACAGAGGTCCTTCCCTGACATCTCTGTATTTGCATACTCATTCAGAGCGTGTTCTCACTCAGAGCTACTAAAGCGTTCACTTGCACATCATGGCACCATGTGTTAATTCCCCATGTCGTTTGTGCAGCTATGTGTGGAATTAAAATGCGTACATGAAATGCAGTACCACCAAAAATCTTGGAGGCAGTATGATCAACTTATGTAACCGAATCAAGTGTTTATATATGGTACAGTTAGTAATAAAGTAGCAATTGATCTCTTTTCTTTTGGGCCGGAAGACATTAAAAACGGAATATTTTCAGAGGCAAAAGAAAAAAATATTCCAAGCACTACTGTGTGTGTCTGTGTACAGCAGCTTCAAAATGTACTGGCAGTTTAAGTTTCTTCTGCTTTCTACAGAGAATGCTGCAGCAGTATTACGGATTCAGCAACTTGCTGTGGAAGCAGTGAGTGTAAAACATTTCATGCCACAACCATAAACTATGCATTCAAGTATGAGCAGCTGCACCACTGATGTAGTGACAACACACATAGGCATAAGAGTTGGGAGTAGTGTCACAATTATTACATATTACATAACACCTAATCAAGATTATTTGAGCTGACCACGATTATATTTTGCATAATCAGTAGAACCGTCTCCACTCATATAAAAATAGCTGGATGAAACGGAACATCACTATTCCCATATCACTGTTTTCACATAATTTTCTACCATGAAATGCTTGGCTAGCTTTTGTTTAATGACATCATCTCATTGCGATTCTGAACCGATCCATACCACCTGCCCTATTTGTACATCGCAGGTATGCATGTGCAACATTAGGCTTCTCAGCAAATTTTACGGCGGTGCCGCTTTGTACCCCTTAGTTTCAAAACATTTTCATGACCCAGCCTGATCCTGTTAGTATTTCTTTTCACCACTTCAGGTTCATTTTACGAGCTAGTTGCTTGTGAGCGATCTCCAGCAGCCCAGAATATCAGGCAGATATTCAGATTTTCTCTGTCTGTTTAATAAAAGTTCTGCATAGCACCTGTACTTGTGAGTACATGTTTATGCGTCTCATTATGGTGGGATGACTGTTTATGTCCCTGACGGCTGCCACTATTATGCTGCAGCAGAGTCAGTATATTATGGCAATAGGACAAAGAACAAGAGAAATGTCTTATTTTTCTATTCATTTCTGATCCCACTGCTTTGGAGTTATATAAGCAGGTGCACATAACTGGTATGCAAGTACACATTCCCTGTAAAGCAATAAATGTGGAAATGTCTTGTTGCAGCATATCATGCCTCTACAATTTTTGTTTAAAGCTTAAAAGGCAAATGCATTTTTTATTTATATGTTCCAAATATTCAATATTTAGTTCTTTATAAAGGTGCATATGTAATATTCAACTATGATTAGGCTAACTCTAGGCTGATAGTGTTATAAAATGAACAGGGAAAAAAACAAATCATTAATTGCTATTATTTTTATGACAATCATCAACTAAAATTTCATGATGGTGACAGTCCCAGCTGCGAGCATGGGGAACAAACCAGCCCTAAGAGTCACATGTATGACTAAGCATACACAAGGGAATGAGAAACTTTCCGTACTACATAGATGCCCCCATGCTGCCCATCGTGGATTTTGTTCTGTCGGACAATAGGGCAGCTGTTGGTCCGGATCTGGATCCCTGCCAAGGCGTTGCCATGGATGTCGTTCCCTTCGATGAGGCCCCGCCCATCGCCAAATATGTAAACACCACCTTGGTTACCATTGTAGATGGCATTTCCCCTGGATACACATGACAGAGAACAACTGCATGATAAACACACATAAATACCAAAGTGTATGTCAGAAAGCTAACTTGCACAAACTTAGCCGGGAAAAAAAAAAATCATATTTAAAAGCTCCTTGCGATGGGGGGCAGGCCTAAATGATTACACATATGAATCTGCTCCAAACTCATCAATTATCGGAATGCCTTCCTATGTTTATGGTACCAGGCTTCCATTGGAGTTGTCCAGACAAAACAACCAAATCAGTTCAAAACAGTTAAGATAGCAGAACCATAAACGTGATAAAATTAAGAAGAAAAGATTGGATAGAGGAATCCCAAAAAACGGACAAATAAGTAAAGATGCTAACCTGATGGTAGGGTCACTGTTAGATGTGATCCAGACCCCAGCAAAGTTATTCGCATAGATCTTATTGTCGATGAACTGGCCACGACCCTTTTCATGCACATAGATGCCCCCTGTCTGTCCGTGGTGGATCTCACAGCGCACCACCGTGGGGTTTGCGTAAGCCTTCACCTCAAACCCAGCAATACGATTCCGGTGGATGTTGCAGCTCTCAAAGTAGCCCTGCAGAGCACACAGCACACACCAAAATGTACACCAGTGTCAAGTAAAAATCCGATGAACCAGGTAAAACCATAACACCTGACTTTTAGGTTTAGAGAGATTTATCTAAACAGGCATAGCTCATGTTCTTTTCCACATCGAGCAGCTTAACAGTATATACTAGATAGAGCCCTGGTTTTGAAAACATGATGTTTAGCAACCACAAAAGTACCCTAAGAATTGGGGACGAAACAGGAGCACCACAAAAAAAATGTGTATAACATGCAAACTCTAACGAGAATGGGGGTAAGATTCAAACCCCCAACTCTGAAGCTGGGGCAACAGAGACACCTGCTTAGCCACCAAACTCCATCCATCCATTAACTTCCGTTTGTCTGGGGTTCGG